CAAGACACTGAAACAGTGAATGGATGGCTCTAAAGCCTCCTGTATTACTTTTACATGGCAGCCAAGACACTGTTATAGTTAATGGGTGGCTCTACAGCCCCCCAGATCACTTTTACATGACAGCCAAGACACTGTAAAAGTGAATGGGTGGCTCTAAAGCCTCCCGGATCGCTTTTACATGATAGCCAAGACACTGTCATAGTGAATGGGCAGCTCTACAGCCCCCAGGATCACATTTACAGAACAGCCAAAACACTATAAAAGCGAGCAGACCGCGCTAAAGCCTCCCCGTCCACTTTAGCATGACAGCCAAGACACTGTAAAAGTGAACAGGTGGCTCTAAAGCCTCGCAGATCACTTTTTCATGACAGCCAAGACACTATGAAAGTGTGATCGGACGGCTCTAATACCTCCCTGTTCACTTTTACATGACAGCCAAAACACTGTAATAGTGAATGGGTGGCTCTAAAGCCTCGCGGATCACTTTCACATGACAGCCAAGACACTGTAAAAGGGAACAGGTGGCTCTAAAGGCTCACGGATCACTTTCACATGACAGCCAAGACACTGTAAAAGTGAATGGGTGGCTCTAAAGCTTCCCGGATTGCTTTTACATGGCCGCCAAGACACTATAAAAGTAAACGGGGGGCTCTAATACCTCCCTGTTCACTTTTACATGACAGCCAAGACAAAATAATAGTGAATGGGTGGCTCTAAAGCCTCCAGGATCGCTTTTACATGGCAGCCAAGACAATGCGATAGTGAATGGTTGGCTCTAAAGCCTCCCGGATCACTTTTACATGACAGTCCAGATACTGTAAAATTGAATGGATGACTCTAAAGCCTCCTAGACCACGTTTACATGGCAGTCAAGTGTCGGCTGCTTTGGCAGCCCTGATCTCGTTTTGCCCCCTTTGACGACCAGGACCTTTGTAAACGTTGTTTGGTAGATGAAGGATTAATATCACTTTAGGGCAAAGGCAAGGAAGCCCTTCAACGAACATCAAGTACAATTCAAACATCTCTGGGCTGGAAGGTCTGGGAGGGACAGCTCCGAGTCAAAGGGTCACCTTTGTGGTGGAAGATATCTTCTGGGATTCTGGGTATCACCTCAGACATGGAGTGTAGAACACATACTGAGCAGAAGATTCACTCAACCCAACAATAAGACCCAATGGGGGTGGTATGGTCAGTAAGGGCTCTGATTAGTCCACAGCCTGCCCATTAGTCCCAATTGATTGTTGGGGGGGGGGTAGTAAAAACGAAAGGGTATTTCCTGTTATCCAGCAGAGGTAGCCTCGTAGGGCATGCATTGGACCATTCCAAACCTTCTCCTGAGGTGGGGTTTGGAGAGGGAGGTTCCTACTTTTGTAACTCCATTGAGAAATGAAGAAAACTGGAGATGGTGGGATTTCCATATTTTTAGTAGCAGCTTTCTGAGGGCTTTCCTGGAGACAAGGTCCCTGCAGCCTACCTCATGGCGGTCTGGTCATGCAAACTCTTCAGGCCTCTTAGTTGCCTATTGGTGCCAAATCTTGCTCATGGATCTCCTCATGGATCTGCAGGATGGATGAGGATTACTTGGTCTACAGCAGGAGCTCTTCCGAAACATCTGCTCATGGATCTGCAGGTTGAATGAGGATTACTTGGGCTACAGCAGGAGCTCTTCTGAAACATGGCAATAGTTGCCTATTGCTGCCAAATCTTGCTCATGGATCTGCAGGATGGATGAGGATTACGTGGTCTACAGCAGGAGCTCTTCCGAAACATCTGCTCATGGATCTGCAGGATGGATGAGGATTACGTGGTCTACAGCAGGAGCTCTTCCGAAACATCTGCTCATGGATCTGCAGGATGGATGAGGATTACTTGGTCTACAGCAGGAGCTCTTCGGAAACATCTGCTCATGGATCTGCAGGATGGATGAGGATTACTTGGGCTACAGCAAGAGCTCTTCAGAAACACAGCTGTTCATTTTGATGGTAGCCACGCCCCTGTTATGTGGGAGTTTTGATGGCTGGAAAGATGGGACTTCTGTGAGAAACATTTCCCGCACTCAAGACAGGAAAATGGCTTCTCGCCTGTGTGAGACCTCTGATGCCGATTGAGATCTGATTTGTTTGTATAACATTTCCCGCACTCAGGGCAGGAAAAAGGCTTCTCCCCCGTGTGAGACCTCTGATGACGATTGAGGTCTGATTTGTACGTATAACATTTCCCGCACTCAGCGCAGGAATACACCTTCTCACCAGTGTGTGATTTCTATGGTGTCTGTGAAGATAAGACTTCTCTGAAAAACATTTCCCGCACTCGGAACAGGAATACAAATTTCTCCCCCGTGTGAGATCTCTGATGTATGACAAGTTCTGATTTCCGTGGATAACTTTTCCCGCACTCAAGGCAGGAATACGGCTTCTCACCCGTGTGAGACCTCAGGTGTGTAACAAGATGTGATTTCCATGGATAGCATTTCCCACACTCAGAACAGGAATACATCTTCTCACCTGTGTGTGATCTCTGGTGTACAAGAAGAGAGGACTTCTGAAAAAAAACATTTCCCGCACTCGGGACAGGAATACGGCTTCCCACCTATGTGGGACTTTTGATGTCTGACAAGCGTTGATTTCAGGGGATAACACTGCCCACATTCAGGACAGGAATACGGCCTCTCCCCTGTGTGCGATCTTTCATGTACAATAAGTTGGGATTTCTGTGTATAACTTTTCCCACACTCAAGACAGGAAAACGGCTTCTCAGCCGTGTGCAATCTCTGATGTCTGGAAAGAGAGGTCTTCTCTGCAAAACATTTCCCGCACTCAGAGCACAAATACGGCTTTTCTCCCGTGTGCAGTCTCTGATGTCTGTAAAGATGGGAATTCTCGGAAAAACATTTCTCGCACTCAGGGCAAGAATATGGCTTCTCTCCTGTGTGATATCTTTGATGTTTAACAAGTTCTGATTTTCGTGCAAAACATTTCCCGCACTCCGGACAGGAATGAAGCTTCTCCCTTGTGAGAGATCTCTGATGTAGAGTAAGACTTAATTCAGAGCCAAACCTTTCTCCATATTCAGGGCAGGAAATCTTCTCATCTCCCTGAATTCCGGCACTGTCCCTCACAGGTTGCTCACCTGTACTGATCTCCATAGGAGTGTCCTCCTCTAGGAATGTCCTCCTCATTCCAGCCTCCTCCGTATATTGCTGATCATCCCTCACATACGTCTCTTCTACTTCACCCTCAACTTTTATGGTGATCACATCTTCGACCTGATGGTGGTGAGGGTTGGTGGGACCTTCCTGTGTGAAATCCTGGGAATACAGAGGACGGGGACATCTCTCTGGTGGGTTCCCATGACTGGATCCATCTACCTGATGATGGTGAGGGATGGTGTGACCTTCCTGTGTGGAATCCCGGGAATACAGAGGACGGGGACATCTCTCTGGTGTGTTCTCATGACTGGATCCATCTACCTGATGATGGTGAGGGATGGTGTGGTCTTCCTGTGTGGAATCCCGGGAATACAGAGGATGGGGACATCTCTCTGGTGGGTTCCCATGACTGGATCCATCTACCTGATGATGGTGAGGGATGATGTGACCTTCCTGTGTGGAATCCCAGGAATACAGAGGACGGGGACATCTCTCTGGTGGGTTCCCAGGACTGGATCCATCTACCTGATGATGGTGAGGGATGGTGTGACCTTCCTCTGTGGAATCCCGGGAATACAGAGGACGGGGACATCTCTCTGGTGGGTTCCCATGACTGGATCCATCTACCTGATGATGGTGAGGGATGGTGTGACCTTCCTGTGTGGAATCCCAGGAATACAGAGGACAGGGACATCTCTCTGGTGAGTTCCTGGTATTAGTTGGCTCCATCATAATGTGCTTGTAGAGATTCTTGTGTCCTTCAGAAAGCTTCTCCATCACTCCATACGCCTCCTCCTTCTCTATAAATTCTTCTTTAACAACAATATCAAAACTCCCGGGGCTTCCTCTCTGAATACATAAGAAGACATTAATTGTAACAAATATGTTTGTGTATAAATCATAACTACCAATAATTGTTCCTCGCCTACCTGATGGTGAGGGATGGTGTGACCTTCCTGTGTGGAAGCCTGGGAATACAGAGGACATCTCTCTGGTGGGTTCCCATGACTGGATCCATCTGCCTGATGATGGTGAGGGATGGTGTGATCTTCCTGTGTGGAATCCCCGGAATCCAGAGGATGGGGACATCTCTCTGGTGAGTTCCTGGTATTAGGTGGCTCCATCATATCCTTGTGTCCTTCTGAAAACTCCTCCATCACTCCATATTCATCATCCTCCTCTTTATACTCTTCTTTGACAACAATATTATCATCTCCGAGGATTTCACTCTGAATATATATAAAAAAATTCATGGTAACAAACACTTGTGTAGAACTCAAAACTACCAGTGATTGTTCCTCATCTACCTGATGATGGTGAGGGATGGTGTGACCTTCCTGTGTGGAATCCCGGGAATACAGAGGACGGTAACATCTCTCTGGTGGGTTCCCATGACCGGATCCACCTACCTGATGATGGTGAGGGATGGTGTGACCTTCCTGTGTGGAATCCTGGGAATACAGAGGACGGGGACATCTCTCTGGTGGGTTCCCATGACTGGATCCATCTGTAGGAAACACACACACTGACTGAATCCATTGTTTCTATGTGTTTATCAGATGATGGGGGATCTAGGTGGAGCCTCCGTACTGCTCTCTCCTTTCCAATAAAGTCTCCTCTTACCCGGTGATGTGAGGGGCGGCTGATTGTCCATCATGACGTCCTTGTAGAGGTCCTTGTGTCCTTCTAAATACTCCCACTCCTCCATGGACCGGAATGGCCGGTATATATTGTCCTTTTTCCACCAATGATCTTTTTGCCTTATCAGTCCTACCTAAAAGTATTATAAAACCTTTATTAGGTGCGGGGGATGGGGGGTTCATGCAGATTTAGATTTGTATACATATATTTATCTATATTATACAAAATGTGGTTAGGAAAAAAAAAAAAAAAAAAAAAAAATATATATATATATATTCATCTGCTGGAGATAAAAGACATCACAGTGACTATGGAGGAAGAAGACGGACGTGACGGTGGAGGGAGAGGGCCGACGAGACGGTGGAGGGAAACGGACGGAGGGAAAGGGCCGACGAGACGGTGGAGGAAGAGGGCCGACGAGACGGTGGAGGGAGAGGGCCGACGAGACGGTGGAGGGAGAGGGCCGACGAGACGGTGGAGGGAGAGGGCCGACGAGACGGTGGAGGGAGAGGGCCGACGAGACGGTGGAGGGAGAGGGCCGACGAGACGGTGGAGGGAGAGGGCCCGACGAGACGGTAAAGGGAGAGGGCCGACGAGACGGTGGAGTGAGAGGGCCGACGAGACGGTGGAGGGAGAGGATGGGCGTGACGGTTGAGGTAGAGGATTGGCGTGACGGTGGAGGGAGAGAACGGACGCGACGGTGGAGGGAGAGAACGGACGCGACGGTGGAGGGAGAGGATTAGCGTGACGGTGGAGGTAGAGGATTGGCGTGACGGTGGAGGAGGAGTACGGACGTGACTGGGGGGGGGTTACTGGGTATAAATAGACAATAAGATCTTATTACCTCCTCTGCTGCCACTTCCACCAATGTCTCCTCTCTACTTCCTCCCAACTCACCTCTCACCCGAACTTCCTATTCATACCGGACATCACTTCTTGTTTGTACCTGACATCACTTCCTGTCATTCATAGAGACTTCCTGTCTGGGTAGAAGTGAGATCCCCACCTTGTGGAGCTCAGAGAAACTGCAGCCCCGAGAACCATCTGGTGACCCCGGCCTTGTGCTGAGTGTGTATGGACTGTATCTCTTTGTAGACCAACCTTTGTCAACCTTTTTCAACGCAGAGGAACCCTCAGAATAACTTTCTGGAACCTCTGCAAAAAATGATCTACAGCTCATGATACATCAGTCTGATGGTCGATGGGAAGAATGATCCTTCCACTTGTGATCATTGGGAAGAATTATCTCCTTACAGAAAGTTAAAAAGATCAATGGTGTCAGTGGGAATATGAGAGATCTGAGAGGCACAAATTGCTCCTTGTTCAAGGAACCCCTGGCCACCTCTAGAGGAACCCCGGTTGAGAAATCCTTTTATAGACATTCTAGGCACGAAGGTAAAAAAAACCTTCAGTGTGTTGCTCCCCCTACAGCCCCCCAATACTTACCTAAACCTGATCCAGTGGTGTGCATGGGAGCCTTGGCTCTCCCAGGTCCCCCTCTCCTCACTGGCTAAGAGACAGAAGTGGAAGGCATTGGCTCCCATTGCTGTCAATCACAGCCAGTGAGGAGATAGTGGGAGGGGTCGGGGCCAAGCCATAGCTATGTGTGTTTTATGGACACATAGAGTGGGGCTCGGGAACCAGAACCCCCATAACAAGCGGCTTGCAATTGAGAGCACTGGTAGTGGGGAGGAACCAGGAGCACAAGCGTAGGACCCAAAAAAAGGAGGATTGGAGTTGCTCTGTGCTAAACCATTACGGAGAAGAGAAGTAAGATAAATAAAACCGAACCTTTAATTTCACTTTAAAACTGTATGATACTGTATGTACATACTGTAGATAGGAAGGTGCAGGTTTCCCTCCAAAATGTAGGTGGCAACAGATGGAGTGGAGTCTGTTAGGAGAATTGTCCTCCTATGGATGCCACCAGGGTCTCAAAGAAGCCTGCTGTCTGACTGGACTCTTGAGACCTCAAGCGGCCATCTTTATGGGGAGAAACGATAAAAGGGGTTCTCTGCGTTAGCTGGGTGTGCCTTCGGTGAGGCAGTAAGACAGGAACCACTGGATATGGAAAGTACAGGAGCAGCAGTAGGGAGAAGTTCACGATGAGTAGGTCTTCGGTGCACAGTGGTTTACATCCAGTGAGGACGCAGTGTTTTATCCATCGTCGGGGAAGAATGCAACCCAAATTAGATTCCTTTTTATTGCAAGTGACCCTCAGTTGTGGAAAATGCCATCTTTTGGCCTCCTTGGTTAAAGGTATCTGCCAGTAGCCCTTGGTGAAGTCTAAGGCTGGTTCCAACCTCTCTACCAGCTGATCTTCTTGGGACATAAGATTGGCATTGAGCTTCGATACATCATTCACGATAAAAGGGGTGCTCCACGTTAGCTGGGTGTGCCCTCAGTGAGGCAATAAGACAGGAACCACTGGGTGGGGAAAGTATAGGAACAGCAGTAGGAAGAGGTTCCTGATGAGTAGGTTTCCCTTACAGGGTGTCTTCGGTACACAGTGGTGTACTTCCAGTGAGGATGCAGTGTTTTTATCGACCGCCCTCTGAAAGGTATCTGGGACAGAATACAACCCAAATGGGATTCTTTTTCATTGGAAGTGACCCTCAGTTGTGGAAAATGCCATCTTTTGGCCTCCTTGGTTAAAGGTATCTGCCAGTAGCCCTTGGTGAAGTCTAAGGTGGTAATATACCAGGCTGGTTCCAACCTCTCTACCAGCTCATCTTCTTGGGACATCAAATATGCATCAAGCTTCGATACTTGAGTTTTATGAAGCCTTTGCAAAGCCATAGAGTCCCTATGGGCTTTGGTACCAACACAATGATGCTTGACCAATCACTGTGTATCTCCTCAATGATATCACGTTCCAGCATTTCCGAACTTCCTCCGATACAGCTTTCCCGTGTGCCTTGGGAATACAATACATTTTTACGTGGACCCTAACATTCAGCTCTGTGACAACGTCATGTTCAATCACACCTTTAGGACCTAGCAGTCCTGAAAAGATCTAATTTTCCAGGTAAAATTATTTTACCTGGGTTGGAAAAGGTGATGGCGAAGGGGCCCGGGTCTGACCTGACCTCAACCAGGGCAGCGACCGTCTCCGTCTTTCTAGGGTTTAGCAAATTCACATTGTAGATCTGATAAGGATTCTGCTTCCTAGGTTGGTGTACTTTATAGCTTACCTTACCAACCTTCTCCACCTCTTCGAATGGCTCCTGCCACTTGACTAGGAACTTACTCTCTATGGCACAGCCACCTGGTCCCCAACCTGAAACTCTCTACGTTTGGTGGACCGGTTGTATACCATCCTTTACCAGAGGCATCACCTTAGTGATTCTCTCCCTCATTTGGGTGATATGCTCCATCACCATCTCAAGTTGAGCAGTTTCCCTTTCCCAGGTTTCTTAACCAAGTCAAGCAACCCACGAGGTCTCCAGCCATACACCAACTCAAGCTGGGAAAAACTCGGTGGATGCTTGAGGTACCTTTCTGATAGAAAACATTAGTACAGGGAGTAAGCACTCCCAGTTAGACATGTGCACTTCATTTCGATTCATATTTTGGACGAAAATTTGATATCCGGAGATTCAGATGAATACGAATCTCCGAACGGACGTAGTAACGAATGTCAATGAATCCGATAAAAAGCCATGACGAAATTAACAAATGCATTTGTTTTGTTCAGATGACGTCACAGTAGTTCGGGCCCCACGGGGGAAATGAATTCAATTTTCAAATTTGTTCGATAATTTGGATAACTAAGAGTCCGAATTTTGTTCCATTTGGTAATTTGGATGCACATGTTGCCAAATCGATGTTGTCAGCTCATGCCATATCTCTTGGTGGGTTGGACCAGCATCTGAAAATGTTGAATCCTTCTGATTCAAATCTGTCCAGTTCACAAATATATATAACAATCTTCAGGAAAAACTGCAAAATGTTTTGGATCCACCTGGACCAATGAATATATGAATGAATGCCAAAGACGCAACTGAAATGGTTCAACATAACGGATATAGGATGAAACGCAATTCTTCAATAAACGAATGCCACCAAACCGAAACGAAAAATTTCCAGGGTGCACGCGTCTAGTCCCAATCATTTCCATCTTTTCGTACACTTTTTGAGTATTGATTTAATGGTTTTGTTAACCCTCTTGAACAGCCCATCCATCATACAAAAAGTATGTCTATTTCGTCCCTGAAACGCGTCAACTAGCCGACCACACGGACAGTCGGACACCCCGCCATTGTTATGGCCATCTCTACCATTATAAGCTTTACATTTGTGCCATGTTTGTATGTTTTCATCCCTTTTTACCTTTAATAAACCTTGGATAATGCACTAGGGGTTTGCGTCTCCTATTTGCTCTTTTTATAGACAAAAAGTATGTATTTGTTTAATTCGGAACAGCTTGCACAAGTCTGCCATCGCCTTCAACATGAATGGAGTGACCTTGGACCATCAAGAGTTCTTTAGCTTAGCTAGCTTTTGAAAACATTTAGTAACTCCTGAACAATTGCTTTTAAGGAGGTCCTCTTCAAAGGACCACTTCTGGATACCTCATGGTCTGGTGTCCTCAGGCTGGATTGACCGAGGGCCCTACCAGATCCATCAGCTTAAAGAGTATCTCGATAATAGGCGGAGTCACTAAGGGGTTCTTGATGTACGACACTGGAACGCCTAGCTGACAACTGGGACAGGAAGCACAATAGCTTTTAACTTCAGAAGTAACTCACGGCCAGTAGAATTTGTCTGGTATCCATGCCTCTGTTTTTTTGGCCTCCAGGTGTCCTCCTAGTACATCAATTTGAGCCAAGTCAAGTACCATGCATCTAAAAACTGGGGGACCAATATTTAGTCGGCCATTTCACCCCGGACTTTGATGGCTTGATGTAGCAAATCATTAGTGACCACAAAGTGTGGAAACCCTCAGGCACTTGTGACACCCTTTAATCTGTAACTAGTGTGCCGGAACTTTCTCATGGTGGCAGCTTGCCTCCTCATGGCGGCGGTTGGCTTCCTTGAGGATCTCATGATGGCAGAGTGGTTCTGTGGAGGCCTGCTGCTTGGTCTATAGAGTGGCCTCCTGCTGAACCGCGTTAGACTGTACCAGGGCTTTCACAACTTCCTCCACGCCTACTTTCATAGGGTGCAGGGCCTGTGCTACTCTGACCCACAACATACAAAACAGGAAATGGCCCTTTAAAGTGGAACTACCTGAGTGCCACAAACCAAAAAAACCCCCCACAATTTAATTCATTTTTAATATTCAAAGTAAAACTCGCCCATCCATGTCTCTGTGAGAAATCACTTTGAAAAACACCCACCTAGAATTTCTGGTTGTGGCCATCTTGAGTAAGGGCAGATGACTCATGCAGCATTTACGTCCTGGAATCCATGCCCTTAGCTCAGGCATACAGGCCAGGAGGATGTGCTTAGCTGAAAAAAACTCCTCCTCTCCTGAAGACTCCTGGGATGTATGACATTATTTGCCTAGGGATGGAAACCAGGAAGTAACTGAAGAAATGTAAAAAAAAAATGTAAAACAAGTAAATATTGTCACGAACCGTCCCTTTGTGATAACATTTTGCCCTTTCTGTTCTGGTTTTATCCCCTTTGTAAAGCTCTATATGTTAGCAGCTGGTATGTACACAGACATTCTACAAAGTTTGTTTAGGGAAATGTGACCTTGTAGTCTTTCACTTCTAAATGAGTTCATACTGTATTGTTGGGTTGTAGGGTTTTGTTGTGGGTGGGGAAAACCCGGTGCCAGGCTGTTTGGTGGGACTGAAGGGGGCGGGGATTACTGCCAGGATGTGCTGTATATACTGATCTGTGTTTAATAGTCATTCATTTTCACACTACACGAAGTTCTGACTCGTGGTTTGGGGAAGGATTGGTTTTTGAGCTATAATACCTGCCTTGGCAGAGCACTGGAAGACTTGCAGGATAAGGGGACCATTGGGTGAGACGCACTGCTCCGCACGAGGAAGCCCAGGTGGAACGGTTCCGCCCCAAATATGATATACCTTCCTATCCATTTAATAATGCTAGCAGCGCAAGGATTAAAAGTAGACATTTATTGAGAGAGGGAGGCTCCAGTTTGAGTATGTCTCTGCTTCAAATGGCTTTTACAGCTAGATTGCTCGCATCCTCCACCTGTTGTTATCTTTGAGATTTGGAACACTAACCAGCCTCTATTTTTGGAGTTCTACAAAATTGTTTCTTTAATCCATTGGCTGAGAAAGACGATCTTGTGGTTGGAGGCGGTGATGGTGCGGAGGAGGAATTACGGGTGGAATGATAGATTGCTTGACTCCTCCCAAGACTGGGATGTCTGTATTCGTGCTGATCCTCTTGTTTAGAGGGACACAAGCCATAGAAAAGATGGAGGGGGGTTCCTCTATGTTAGATGTGATGTGAAAGTGAGGAAGAAAGATGACCTTGAAGATGGTGATGGTGCGGAGGAGGGATTAAGGGACGAATGATAGATGGGTCTATGGACTGATGGACTTATCATTGGAGTATACTACAGACGTCCTGAGATCTATGAGAAGGGGGGAGTCGGCTGTTTTCCAACAAGGTGATGGTGCGGATGAGGAATTACGGGATGATAGATGGGTCTATGGACTGATGGACTTATCATTGGAGTATACTACAGACGTCCTGAGATCTATGAGAAGGGGGAGAGTCGGCTGTTCCAACAAGGTGATGGTGCGGATGAGGAATTACGGGAGGAATGATAGATGGGTCTATGGACTGATGGACTTATCATTGGAGTATACTACAGACGTCCTGAGGTCTATGAGAAGGGGGAGAGTCGGCTGTTCCAACAAGGACAAGCTGGGAACACCAAACTACTAAGACACAAGATGGAGACTAAAACCTACAGGATGGGCCGTACTTGTAGTGTTAGAGAAAGGAATAAAGGAGAAGAAAATAACATTTCTGAAAGCAGATTTTTAATTTTCATTTGTTTGACACTAAAAAATGTGTTTATATATTTGCATTTTGACCATGTAAATATAAAATTGTAAGTCCATGTCATGTAGTCTGATCTCCTGTTTTCTTTATCCACAAGCAATATCTAGCTCCTCTCTTACCATGAGTCCTCCATGGAAGCTTCTTCTGAAGATCAGACTACACTGCTAAAGGGACCCAACCAGCAGTGACCCCCCCCCCTCCTTCTCTCTCACCATGATGTCCTCCATGGAAGCTTCTACTGAAGGTCAGGGGAGATCACACTACACTGCTAGAGGGACCCAACCAGCAGTGCCCCCCCCCCCTCCTAGCAGAGGAAGCCAGGTACAACTTTGATCTGATCTCTGATCACCTTATAAAGTGTTTCTTCCATGATAAAGATCAGAGGAGCGCTCAGCCACATTTTTTCTGAGGTGTATATCAAGGTGTGCTTCTTCCCACTGTGAGATCTCTGATGTACGGCAACATATCATCCATAGAGAACACATTTCCCGCACTCAGGACACTAATACACCTCGAGGGTGGTGTAGGTTCTCTGATGTTTGGTAAGACAAGATTTCCATGAAAACATTTCCCGCACTCACTGGAATAAGACTTCTCCCCTGTGTGAGATTTTTCATGTAGAACAAGTTCTAATTTCTTTAGATAACATTTCCTGCACTCGGGGCAGGAAAATGCTTTTCCTGATGGTGGTAAATCTGACGTACAGCAAGATTGGGCTTTTGTGGGGAAAAGAAACATTTTCCACACTCGGGCCAGTTAGGAGGCTTCTCATCTGCGAGAAAGCTCATATGTACAGATGGAACTTCTATGAAACAAAACTTCCCGCACGGCAGGCCGGAAGATGACTCCTCCCCCCGTCTCTGATTTACAGGGTCTGGTTTCTGTTGAAAATGTGCCTGGCGCTTAGTACAATATTTTGTCTTCTAGCTCATGTGTCATCTCCGATGTCTAGAAAAACTGGGAATATCTGAGAAATGGCCTCCCCTCCGTGTGAAATTTTTGATGTTTAAGAAGGTTTGCTTTATGCATATAACTTTTCCCGCACTCTGAACAGACATACGGTTTCTCGCCATTGTGAGATCTCTGATGTCTAGAAAGACTAAACTTCCCTGAAAAACATTTCCCGCACTCAGGGCAGGAATACGGCTTCTCTCCCGTGTGAGAACGTTGATGTTTAACAAGGTCTGTTTTATGCATATAACATTTCCCGCACTCTGGACAGGCATGTGGCTTCTCGCCAGTGTGAGATCTCTGATGTCTGGAAAGACTGGACCTCTCTGAAAAGCATTTCCCGCACTCAGGGCAGGAATACAGCTTCTCCCCCGTGTGAGATCTTTGATGCTTAACAAGGTCTGATTTATTTGAACAACATTTCCCGCACTCAGGGCAAGAATACGGCTTCTCACCCGTGTGAGATCTCTGATGTATAACAAGTACCGACTTCTGTGTAAAACATTTCCCGCACTCGGGACAGGAATACGGCTTCTCGCCTGTGTGAGACTTCTGATGTGTGTAGAGATGGAACTTTTGTGAAAAACATTTCCCGCACTCAGAGCAGGAATATGGTTTCTCACCTGTGTGTAATCTGTGATGTCTGTAAAGATTGGATACCTGTGAAAAACATTTCCCGCACTCATTACAGGAATAAAGCTTTCCACCCGTGTGAGATCTACGCTGTACAGGGGGTCTTAAATCAGAGCGAAAACTTTCCGCACATTCAGGATAGGAATATTTTTTCTCCCCCTGAACCCCGGCCCCATCCCCCACAGTACGAGGGTGCTCAGAGTCAGAGGGATCCCATGGTCTCTCCACACTGGGAAGTCCACCATCCATAGTGGAGCTCATTGTCTTTTCTCCGGCACAATCTCCTGGGATGTCCTCATCTTCCATTTTACAACCTGGAGATAAAGTGAGACGATCCTTTGAGGGTTTCTCCATGGCGGGTCCTGGAAAAATAGAAAAACATCATCAATAGATAGGAGAGGGTTAGTTCACTTCCATCAAGATTCCATCTGGATCAGGGAGATAGGAGGGAGCAGATGTTCTCTGTGGATGTCCCAACCAGCTGGGACTCCTCCCCTCTTCAAAGGGCCCTTACTCCTCCTTCCAGATCACTTCTACATTTACACCGCCTTGTCAGAGGAGCAGGAACCAATGGGGGCTGGGAGGGGGGGCGGTAACAGAGCAGAGATAAGAGAAGAATATATTCTGGTCACCTGTGCTGATCTCTGTAGGAGTGTCCTCCTCTATGAATGTCCTCCTCATTCCAGCCTCCTCCGTATATTGCTGATCATCCCTCACATACGTCTCTTCTACTTCACCCTCAACTTTCATGTTCATCAGATCTTCACCCTAAACCAACAGAATGGCAGAAAATAACATCTGTAACATAGAAGGATTTATGATGTGAGATCACATAGAACATCTCATCTTGTAGAGTCCACACATCGTCTCCACATGTCAGAGGGTTCCATCACTTTATGTTCCCGACCCTCAACTCCACCTACCTGATGATGGTGAGGGATGGTGTGACCTTCCTGTGTGGAATCCTGGGAATACAGAGGACGGGAACATCTCTCTGGGGGGTTCCTGGTATTAGGTGGCTCCAACATGTCCTTGTGTCCTTCTACAAGCTCCTCCATCACTCCATACTCCTCATCCTCCTCTTTAAACTCTTCTTTAACAACCAAAGCATTATTCTCAAGATTTCCACTCTAAAATATAAAGTAAGACATTTATTGTAACAAACATGCTTGTGATTAAATTATAATTACCAATGATTGTTCCTTATCTACCTGATGATGGTGAGGGATGTTGTGACCTTCCTGTGTGGAATCCCAGGAATACAGAGGACGGGGACATCTCTCTGGTGGGTTCCCATTACTGGATCCATCTACCTGATGATGGTGAGGGATGATGTGACCTTCCTGTGTGGAATCCCGGGAATACAGAGGACGGGGACATCTCTCTGGTGGGTTCCCATGACTGGATCCATCTGTAGGAAACACACACACTGACTGAATCCATCATTTCTATGTGTTTATCAGATGATGCGGGATCTAGGTGGATCCTCCGTACTGCTCTCTCCTTTCCTATAAAGTCTCCTCTTACCCGGTGATGTGAGGGGGCGGCTGATTGTCCATCATGACGTCCTTGTAGAGGTCCTTGTGTCCTTCTAAATACTCCCATTCCTCCATGGAACAGAATGGCCAGTATATTTTCTTCAGGTGACCTTTTATGTGTGTATCATCATCTGCTGGAGATAAAACACGTCACACTGACTATGAAGGAAGAGGATGGCCATGACTATGGAGGAAGAGAACAGACATGACGATGAACGAAGAGGACGGACATGATGGTGGAGGAAGATGACGGTCGTGACGGTGGAGGAAGAAGATGGATGTGACGGTGGAGGAAGAGGATGGACATGACGGGGGGGGGGGGGGTTACTGGGTGTAAATATAAAATAAGATCTTATTACCTCCTCTACTGCCACTTCCACCAATATCTCCTCTCTACTTCCATCCAACTCACCGCTCACCTGGAACTTCTTATTTATAGCTGACGTCACTTCCTGTCTTCCATAGAGACTTCCCATCTCTATAGTAGAAGTGAAATTCCCACCTTGTGGAGCTCAGAGGAACTGCAGCCCCAAGAACCGTCTGGTACTGTGACCCCGGTCTTGTGCTGGGTGTGTATGGACTGTATGTCCTCATAGAGGGGTCACCTCCACTCCCACCAAGGGGGACAGAAATATATGACCACTTGGGTTGAGTGGAGGGATTTTAGCATCTTTGGTTTTGCAGCAAAATTGATTATGGGTTGGTCATAATCGCTATTTAGAAGAAATTTCCTTGCAAAAAGCTATCTACCTTGATGAAAACCTTCCCATGTGGCCCTGTGATGTCCTCTATCATCCAAAGAAGGCTCAGAAAGTGGTGGAATGGATGACGTTGACCCCCTTCCTCACTATCCTCATCAGATGTACCCAACAGCAAGAAGTCCACCTCCGCTGCAGCAGAGTAGCCAGGTAGACCAAGGTGTGGCCCCCATACCTCCAGTACAGATGGGATGGGAAATCTCCTCTCCACTTTAACCCACCTCTGGCACATGGTTACAAAGAACCCCCAGCAGAAAGGAAAGGTTTAAAATGGCTCCTTACCTCCAGGATGTGATGGTGGAAGATTAGCCATGTAAATGTTGGTGGGTACAGCAGAGAATCACTGTCCAAGTTGCAGGACAAGTATATTGAGATGCTGAGAGCCCCACGATAAGGGCACCAATTCTAGCTCTGGTTGCCCCCATAGACCTGACATCCTGCATACAGTGAGGATGGGAAAGATTACTAATTGCTGCAACTACAGTATTTAAGCAGCTCTGATGGCAGAGCTTCAGATGTGGTGTAGCAGAAGAGACAGCAGCAATGGGGGTGGAAGACCACCCATCAGCCTCAATAAAATGGCACCACCTGAAAAGGCAGACAACAGCACTGGATAGCAGGAAGAATGCAACTAGTTTTGGAAGGTCTTGCTCATGCCCACCCAAAACAGCCAGGGTGGTCCCATGCACCATGTTGGCCTTTTTATCCAGACAAAGTAGGCATCTGTGTCATTTTGGATAGAAAGTAACACCAATCCTAAGGTGCCAAAACGCCAAATACCATCCAGTGGAAAGAAATCTTACTACAGGTAGTTGATGCTATGGACACCAGAGAGAGCAGGATTTCTCAACTAGGGTTCCTCCAGAGGTTGCTAGGGGTTCTTTGAGCAATGAGCAACATCTGCCTTTCAAATATGTTCCTACTGACACCATTGATCTTTTTTTGTGATCTGTAAGGGGGTTATTCTTCCCCATGACCACAAGTGTAAGGAGCATTCTTCAGCCAGGGTTCCATGGAAGCCTAGGGTTCCCCCAAAGGATGCTAGGGGTTCCTTCAGAAATGAGCAATTTGTGCTTCTCAGATTAGTTCCTCCTGACCCCTTTGAACTTTTTATCTATCTGTAATGTGGATAAATCTTCCTAATGACCACAAGTGTAAGGGGCATTTTTTCTCAGTTAGGGTTCCATGGTTCCTAAGGTTCCTCCAGAGGTTGCTAGGGGTTCCTTGAGCAATTTCTACCTCTCAGAAAAGTTCCCACTGACCCCATTGATCTTTTTGGCAATCTGTAAGGGGGTAATTCTTCTCAATGACCCACAAGTGTAAGGAACATTGTTCCTTAGCCAGGGTTCCACGGAACCCTTGGATACCTCCAGGGGATGCTAGGGTTTCCTTCAGAAATGAGCAATTTGTGCCTCTCAGATAAGTTCCTCGTGACCCCTTTGAACTTTTTATCTATCTGTAATGTGGATAAATCTTCCTAATGACAAGTGTAAGGGACATTTTTCTTCAGTTAGGGTTCCATGGTTCCTAAGGTTCCTCCAGAGGTTACTAGGGGTTCCTTGAGCAATGAGTAATATCTACCTCTCAGAAAAGTTCCCACTGACCCCATTGATCTTTTTTGAAAATCTGTAAGGGGTAATTCTTCTCAATGACCACAAGTGTAAGGAACATTCTTCCTCAGCCAGGGTTCCACAGGACCCTTGGGTCCCTTCAGAGGTTGTTAGGGATTCCTTCAGAAATGAGCAATTTGTGCCTCTCAGAAAAGTTCCTCCTGACCCCTTTGAACCTTTTATCTATCTGTAATGTGGATATATCTTCCTAATGATCACAAGTGTAAGGGGTATTTTTCCTCAGCTAGGGTTCTACAGTTCCTAAGGTTCCTCCAGAGGTTGCTAGGGGTTCCTTCAGCAATGAGCGATTTCTGCCTCTCAGAAAAGTTCCCACTAACGCCATTGATCTTTTTGGCAAATTCTTCTCAATGACCACCAGTGTAAGGAGCATTCCTCCCGCTAACCATCAAACTAATGTTGTAGATATAGTAATTCCCTGAGTCCAGAAAGTTACTTCAAGGGTTCCTCTGTGTTGAAAAGGTAGAGAAAGGCTTAGACAGAGACTGGTGGACTACATACACACAAAAAAAACCCACAAAGCACAATAAGCTACCTGCAATCAAATAAAAATATAATGTCTAAACAGATGTACATTTTAATAACGAAATTATATAATACAAAACATCAAGAATGTAAGAGGATATAAACAGGAACATCCAACAAGAGTCTGCATAGTCCATACAAAGATCGCTGGAATGTAGTTCAGAGCAGCATCTTCAATATCTGTGCTGCTGGTAACTACATAATAGGCTAGACTGGCACAGCATCAGAGCTCTCAGAGCTTGGGTGTGGGATGGTTGGTGCTTGGGATGTGGTTGATGTAGTGATGGCCCAGTACCGCTGCTGCATGGCAGTTTGGGGAAGAGGATCAGAGGTCTCTAAAAGTGTACGAGAGGAACCTGGGAGATGTGTAAACCCCAAATGGGACTTTTCCAGGCTTGAGTGCCTGCGACAACATTGCCCCAAGACCAACATCGGATGCATCCAATAACGTCCCAAAGGGATGAGGAGCAAAAACCCGAACTGGGCAGAGGATCAGAGGTCTCTAAAAGTGTACGAGAGGAGCCTGGGAGATGTGTAAACCCTAAATGGGACTTTTTCAGG